TCTACACAAAATAGTTAAAAAAATCAACGAATATTTTGCTCAAATTTAGTCGTCATTAGTACAAAGTAGGATTCTTTTAAGTTTGTGGCTCGCAGCAAGCAAGCAGTCATGTGTGGAAATGATTTAATCGGACTACGAGAATGTACTTCACGTAACTATGTCCATCCAGTCGTCGATTTCGGTCGAGCTACACGTGATCTACATTTGCTATCCTTTCTTCGGTCAGGTCTTGTAAGTGCAGATCGCTGGTCCCGGCGTGGTACTAGACAACATGCTGGGGCACTCAACAATTGGCAACCCTGACTTTGAACGTTTTTCGACCTTTCCTAAGTAGCAGTTGGCGACTTTTTGGTACAAGTTTACCGGCATGTTGACTCTGTCTCACGTCCCAATATACAATTCACCTCTCGAGCCATTATACTCTTCTCTTTTGGTGAAAACCTAAGAACAGCCTTGTGTTTCAATTGATTAACCTGCTTGTCAAATCGCACTTACTTAGCTCACCGCAATTTTAATTCACCTTATTAAACTCCGCCCTAATCGACTTTCCAGCCAATCAAAAATGGACTTTAAATGCTCATCTAACGTACCCGATTCGCCTCGACTGTTTACGTGTGGACATGACCATTCATCAAGTGTCATCATTACTACGAGCTGTCTTTTGCATAGTTGGCAAAAAAGCTTCCGTCATCAATTTCAACTACTGTGTAAATCATCTCATGACACTGCACAATTGTTATATTCATGTAGTAAAGAGGCTTCAATTGTGTCCTGGCGTTAGCGCATTTCTTCTTTATTTTTCAGATTCACATTAAGTACGTATAAATACGTAAATTCTTCAATCTTGCGTCAGCAAGTATAATCAAAAAAGGTTTTTGAGGCGTTTTTAAGCTGGCCTCCTCATTCGATTACTGACTGGTCTGCATCAATTTCAAATTCTCTGTTCTCTGTTTAACATAGGCGAGTAAAGTGCATTACACAGCAGTCAAAGTTTTTCAGACCGTCATCAAGAGGAAACGGTTCGTCGGTTCTGCTTGACATTTTGCAACGTCGGCATATACCACACCGCGCACCACCAATTTAAATCTTAATTTTTTGGCAAAATGACATTGAATTGTCGTAATGACTTCATCGTCGATAGACAAATAATTCATGGGTTAACGAATATGTCTTTAATCGTACTTCGTCGACGAATGATCAACAAAATGTTAACTCTAGAAGGACAATTTAATGACATCCTTCTTGGTTGCAGCTGGTGTTATTTGACATTATGCAAATTTGCCGACCATTCTGTCAGCAATATGAGGCCAACCCGTCTGGTAATTGAAATGAAATAAAGGATGTTGTGGCAAATCAAAAGATTACAACACCTCGACACAACTCCAACTTTTAACTGCTTCAGCTAAAGGACATTGCTTACAGCAACCACAAACATTATAGTAGTTAAAAATTTAAGAAAAAAATAATTGTTGGTTTCGTTCTGTACAAACATTGCATAAGCGCAGACAAATACAGACAGTTGTAATTTAGGTTCACACTACATAATAACGTAGGCTTAGGAAGTGATTGGTCAGCATTCATTCGCAAACCGATTTCTTATAACTTTAAAGAAATGCATGTTTAATGTAGCCAAACACCAGTATTTCTCCAGGTTTTCTTTTTGTGCATTTAGTTGAGTCTATGGAAATCATCAACATTGCTGTAACTTGAAAACATGCCTAGACGTCTGCGCAAGCAGCATGCAAGTGTTATGCAGGAAAAAATAATCATTTTCTGTTAAAAAAAAACTGGTTATGACATCTTGTTGTTCATTTTTGTTTTCCATGTAATGAGCTGCGTTACACCGTTTGTGTATTTTGTGAGATTTTAAGACACACAACTGTGGATTATTGTAATAAATTGACAATGTTTGCAGCAATAATACTCGCCAGCTATGCCAAAACCTCTACTGAATCAGCAGCAGATCAATCGTACTGAATACTTTGCTAACCACAGTTAGCAATATTGTTGTTTAGCAGACAAGCCATATCGTTGCAGTGTATTTAAGGACTACAGATCCATTGGAGTAGATTTAATTTTGGCACTACCCTACAACTCTCGAGTTAATAGACGGCAGCAACCCGAGAAAAGGGAAGACAAGAGGTGACTGAGAACACGACCGCTTAATAGTGTCACAACAGCCGCGTGCCTTTGTGTACTTATGATTACGCGTGAGCAACAGTTGAAAAATAACAAGAGACAGTAACAAAAGGATGAGTCATTGGTACAGTCGGACAAGCAAGTTGAAATCACTATGGTCCGCAAGGCACTTGCAACAAATGTAATTATTTACCGCACAAACAGTTAGCGTTGGCCTCTGCGACCAAAAGTCGTACGACGGTATTTCGCATACAAAACTCAGCGAAACACATTTACTGCGTTGGGGAAATTTCCACATGTAACAAATTAAAGTAATTTACTTCATCTGTAGAATAAATTGCTAAAAAACTAACAACTGTATGAACAAGCTTCCGTATGACTGCATACCCTTTCAACTAAAACGTCATTTCCAAAGTTACATTTTGCTTCATTTTCAGATTTGACTGAAAATGGAGCATATTTAATGGATGCAAGTCTCGCATCCTTATAGTTGACACACAGCATTGTGGTGAATTAAGTTTGGCTAAAGATATTCCTAGTGTTCAAAGTAATCACTGTTGGGGATCGACTATACGCCAACGTTGTTTTCTGGCACTATTTACACTAATTCATTAACATGTGTTTTATTGCGCGTTTATCGCGTCAAGCACTTAAGAAAAATACGACAAATAACCTTACGCGGTGAAAATGATGTGCCTATAATAATATGCCGATGACTACAGAAATGCGGACGAAGGTAGGCGGGTGATGTTATTTCTCACCCATCGTCAGTACCCTGTGTTAATAATGAAAATCAAAATTTCGAAAAATGTTTGTCAACGTGTAAAGCATGTTCATGTTGGCCAAAAGACACACTTTTTTCTAAATCAGTCATCTTGTCTACTGACGTGTTAGAACAATTTCGTGTCTTCATTTCTTTTAATTTTGCAGTCATATTTGATTCCTTCTTGTCAAATATCTGTGCTAAATGATAATAAAATGTTTGTCGTGAGAAATGCCCACACTCATTTCATAAAATGGTTAGTCTGATTCAATCATATTCCTAATCTTCTACCTCACACATGACAAACAGATTCTCGTCAAAGTAATTTAGGTCATAATTAATTGGTGATTTTTGACAACCAATGTTGCCATAATTGGTAGATGCAAAGAGGCGAGGAAATTAAAGATTTGAACGATAGCCCTTTTACTAGATAAGGCTAAATTGCTGAAGCCAGATGTGTTAAAATATCGAAAATGTGGACCAATTTTGTTGTTCACACACATGGAATATACTGATGTCATTTATGGTAGGACTGTTGCAAAGCGTCTTACCGTACACCGCCCAACTTCAATTTCAGGTTGCAGGTGTGTGTTAAGTTGCGGCTTACAAACACACTATTGAGAAATGATAAGCGTAAAATGTAGAACCACCATATCAGCGCCTCCTTATTTAGTAAATGACTCGAGCTTGTCACTGTCCTGGCAAAACGGCAAGTGCATCTTCACATCAGCATACTTCAGTTCTGCGTGTGTTGCCTTGAACACATTTCCGTGTAATAATAAATTCAAACTCGAATGATCCAATGGGAAGGAGACGGCCGATTTGAATTCAAAAAATGGTGTGCATTATCACAAATGATGCGAAAAACTTAAAAGTGTATAAAAATTAAAAGGTCGTTTTTTTAAGGATGCTGAGCCCTTAATAATTTGGACCTATTTTAGTACGCAGAATTTATTTGAAAAAGACGGTTCACTGCGCAAACATGCTAATTTATTTAAGCAAATAAATATTTTTATTTTTCTTGATTCTAGCGCACGATGCAAATAGAGACCTGAATCTTAGAACGGATTCTGTGGTCAGATAGTTATGTCACAAATATTAATTTAATTTGATTAATTTACCTGCAGTTAAATCATATACCTTGGTGTCTCAGGTTCCACTCTAGATGTATTTTAAAATAATTAAATCACTTTAAGCTACCTTTGACCTAATTTTACTATCCGTTTCATTCCATGGACATGGTTTTTTAACCTAAGAAATGAATAATTGGAGTCAAAATCCCTTTAACAAATATGCTGAAAATAGGCATTTTTTAGGTTTACTAGTCAGTTAAAAAGGCATAACTAACCAAACAGAATGGTTCAACTTAAGAATACTTGGAAACACGTACACAAATTGAATGCTAACAAAGTGTGCTTGGTTATTCGAATATTTCACTTCCTAGTAATCCAACCGCATTGACATATTACGATATTTAGTAATTAAATTTCTGACAGATTAGGTTCTGCCTTGGTACATTAACCTGAATGTGCCAGAAAATAAAAGTCCTCAGTAGTATTTAAAGGGAGGATTAAGTGATTCGGAAACAGGGAAAATGTTGAAATAGCAACCTTGATATATCTGCACAGAAAAGTGATCATCCGGTTTTGCTATTAAGTGCAATCATGCATCTTCCATCGAAGATGTGACGTAACAGGCACGTGTATTTTTCAGATGCAGAAGGATATACTAAATTCTAGTAATCATCAAAATACCGCGACTTTTTGTGAGTGCAGCATTGCCTCTTCTCATTGTTGCAGTAAATACCTAATCTGAAACGTGCAAATAGACTTAATTGAGGTCGTCAGCAATCAGTAAAGAAATGCAATAATTACTGTAAATTTACTTGATAAAGGATCACATAATTCACAAAGAACAACTAAGTATTTTCAGCAAAAACTGTGATATGATTTTGAAACAAGTCAGACAAAGGATAAAATAACGGCAGCGGAAAAAATCACGATTTGAAACACTTCTATTTTCACTGTAGCTAAAGTCGTGGCCTGTTTTCCTTCAGCTTGTAGAGCGACATCCAAATCTGAACTCACCACGCACTGTTTCAGTCGACATTCACTCGTTTGAGGACATTTGGAGCACGCAGGTCCTGGCAAATAGGGCTTTTCACCCGGCATATTACAACTTTGAAGGAATGGAAAGTGTTAGTCACTTCAAGGGCATTATAATGCATCTCCGCATTCACGCCGTTCATGTACAATAAAAATGTTGACATGCATCTGAGAAATACACCTGCATACAAAGTACTTACGCGGGTTTGTACTGGTAGGCCATGAGATACGCGGGGTCACCTGATTCAGATCTGATGTTAGGGCACAGTTTAATCGCACATCCAACGGCATTGGACGTTGCCCATATCACCTCTAAATGAGTAAATTGTTACTTGTTGGCAATGCTTGTCATGATTAAACTGTGCTTCTGTTCCAGTCAAAGTCGTTTTTCGAACATTTCAAGATCTCATTTTACTCCATGATTGGTTTAGTCTATAACTGACAATTACTTTAAAAATAATCAAGGATAACACAACAAATAATAGTGCATAGTTCTAAACTCAAATTTGCCGTTTTTATCTGCAAATGTAATTTCTTTAACCTGCACCTACTTGCGTATAGTTGCCACAAATCTCTGAACATGTGTTTGCTTCATAATCGTAGTTGAACATTTCATTGGAAAAACGGTACACCATGTCTGCAGGGCTTTGTTGCTCATAGAAATTAATCGCAAAACTTCTCCCAAGACCTCGGTATTCAGGTAGGGTGTCCCATATTTTTGTTCCCATGAGGCAGTCGTCTACCCAATCTTCCGCCAACTTTTCGAATTCTGCAGAGTAGCGCTAAAAATCAAACAAATGCATGGATTTATAAAGCATGTGAGGTGTTTAACTAAATCATATGAAAGGTCCACTTACTGTTTAGTACTTCATGCTTTACAACAAATGGTACATTCAACAGAGCCTGTTTATTACTCTGACTACTGCTTTTGTGTGAAAGACAACTTTCATTTAATGTCTTCTCTTTCCAAAATGTAGTGATTAATGTGTAGCAGTACATAGTTCCACTACATGTCGCAGTAAATGTAAAACATTTTAAGATCACAGCAACGCACCAACATTTGCATATTGCTTGCTTCGGGTTCAACCACTGAACGCATATTTGCAAAATTTTCTATGGTTTCGTTTCGTTCTGCCGGAGTTAGAGCCTTGGCGGCCATGGCGAATGCCAAAATCACAAAACAAATAACCTTTTGCATAGTCCTAAAACAGCAAAATAAAACGTTAATTTGGGGCTGATGCAAAACATGCGCCCATATACTCTCGTGCTTAGGTGACGCCTAATTTATAAGGTAAACTTAAATAATCTAGGCAAGCAAAAACATGCACAAAGTGAGGTGGCAAGCTCCGGAGCCAATTACAATTCATGTGGCAGCACATTAGGCTAGGCAACAAAATTTCATCTAATAAGTGCAAGCATATACGAATCCGTTTCGGGACATGAATGTTTGCTGTAGTAGATTGAGTTAAAGCACTTCCTTGCAACTCCCTAGTTAACAGACATCAACAACCCGAGAAAAGGGAAGACAAGAGGTGACTGAGAACACCACCGCTTATAAGTGCCACAACATCCGAGTGTCTTTGTGTAGTTATGAGTACAAGTGCGCAATAGTTGACTAATAACAATAGACAATAAAAACAAAGGATGGGTCATTGGTACAGTGGGACAAGCATGTTGGCATTACTTACTACACCACTATGGCCTGCAAGGCACTTGCAACAAATGTAATTACTTACCATACAAACGTTGTTAGCTTCAGTTTCTGCGATCTAAAATTGTACGACGTTAACTCAACAAAACACATTTATTGCGTTAGGGACATTTCCAAAAGCATCAAACTAAATAAATACTCTGCCATTGAAGAATAAACTGCTTTCGTATGATTGTATATCCCTTCAACTAAAACGTCATTGGCATCACTACATTTGACCTATTTTCAGATTGGTCGGACGACTGCATATTTACTGGATGCCAGTTTCGAAACCTAGTAGTTGACACATACCATTGTGGTGAATTATGTTTAGCAAAAACCTGCCCTATTGTTGCACAATTACTACTGCTGTAGATCGACGAGACTCTAAGATTGCTCGTCGTTGGTTTCTGGCACCATTCACACCAATTCATTAACATGTGTTTTATTACACTGTTCTCGGGTCAAGGACTTGGGAATAGTAACACGAACGAATTCCCAAGGTAAACAACATGTGCTTATAATAATGTACAGAAAACCACAGAAATGCAGACAAAGCAAGACGGTTGATGTGATTTCTCACCCATCGTCAGTACCCTGTGCTAATAATAAAAATCAAAATTGTGAAAAATGTTTGTCAACGTGTAAAGCATATTCATGTTGGCCACAAGACGCACTTTTTGCTAAATCAGTCATCTTGTCTACTGACGTGTTAGAACAATTTTGTGTCTTCATTTCTTTTAATTTTGCAGTCAAATTTAATTCGTTCTTGTCAAATATCTGTGGTAAATGATCATAAAATGTTTGTCGTGAGAAATGCCCACACTCCTATCATTAAGTGGTTGGTCTGATTTAATTATATACCTAATCTTCTACCTCACACATGACAAGCAGATTCGCGTCAAAGGAATTTAGGTCATAATTAATTGGTGATGGTTGACAATTCGGATTCGACCCTTTAAAACGCCACCCCGATTGATTTTCCACCCAATCAAAAATGGACTTCAAACGCACATCTAACTTACCTGATCTGCCTTGATTATTGGCTGATGGACACGTCTTCTGCATAGTCTGCTAAATAAAGGCTTGTTTCATCAATTTTAATGGTTGTTTAATACATCATATGACACTGCCCCAATTGTCCTATTCACAGAGGACAGTAGGCTTTGGTCGATTCCTGAAAACAGCACATATTCCTTATATTTCAAATGAGCATTAAATACCCAAATCTATGTATAGTCTTTAATTTTACATCAGCATTCATAATCAAAAGGGTTTTTTTAAATGTCTTTTAGCTTGCCTCGTCTTTTGATTCCTGATTGTTCTGCATCGATGTCAAATTCTCTGTTCCCCGTTTGCCATAGGCGACTAAAGTGCATCCCACTGCAGTCGAAGTTTTGCAGACCGTCATCCGGAGGAAGCGTTTCGTCGGTTTTGCTTGACATTTTTCAACGCCGGTGTATCTTACCCCGGACACTGCTAATTTAACTATTTTTCGGTTAAGTATTTGAAAGAAAAAATTGTGGCACTGACATGGAATTGCCGAATGGCTTCATCGTTAATCGACAAATATTTCGACGACTGATCATCACTAATTAAACTCTTGAAATATAATTTAAAACTTTTTATTTCGTTTCGAAATCCAGAATTAGTTGACATTTTACAGGTTTCCTGATTATTCCGTCGACAATATGAGGCCAACTCGTCTAAAAACTGAAAGTAAATAAAGGACGTTGTAACAAATCAAAATATTGCAACGGCTCGACACAAAACCAAATCTCAACTGCCACTCTCAGTTAAAGAGCGTTACAGCAACCACAGACATTTCAGTCCAAATGAACAAAGATTTGCAGGTTTCGCTTTGTTTCAATCATGTACAAGCGTAGACGAATGCAGATAGTTAAGACTTGGGTTCACACTACTTGACAACGTTGGCATAGAAAGCGATTGTTCAACATTCATTTGTACGACGATTTCCCGTCACTTTAAAGATACGCAAGCTTATTGTAGCAAAACACCAGTATTCATCCAGAATTTTGATTTGTACATTGTTGTAACTTAAAAATATTCATGACTGGACGTTTGCGCAAGCAACATGCACCGATATTATCCTAAAAACATATTAATTTTCTGTCAAAAGAAAACAAAATGGTCGTGACATTTCTGCGTTTCTTTTTGAGTGGCCTTGGAGTTTCACTTGCCAAACAGTCCAACATTTAAGAATATTTTTAAGCAAGATAGTTTTAGCAAACATATACCTAATTTAACTTTTTAAATCAACCATGCTGAATTGACTTTGCATTGACAAATTGCGCAAATTTGGCTAAAATGTGGTTCTTGGTGAATTCGAAAATTCAAATGTTAGCAAAAAGACCTATGTGATTGCACTGACACGAATCAAACTAGTGAGAATTGCTCTGGATAACTTGATTTTACAAGTATTTACTTGCATTTTATTTAACATCGAGTCAAAATTTGTTTGCATATTTACTCTTTTTAGCAACCACGTGCACATCCGATGAGCTTTGCACTTTGTTAGGTGGTAAATGTAAAATTTGACTGGAATGTATAGCAAAGTTAGCATAAAAGACTCACGCTGTTTTATCTCCTAGCAAAAAGAATAATTATTGTTCTCTGCTTTAATTTTGATGAAAACGGTGGCAGCTTTCATTTCAACATTTCATAGCTAAACAGGTCTGGATTTTAGGCGGTCATAGGCCAGAGTGTCATTTTTAACTCTTAAAATTAGCAGCCGTATGTTGTTTTACTGGATGGAAAGATCCATAAGACGTACGAATCCTAATAAACACATCCTTATTATGTTAGAGCAAGTTATATCATGAAATACACCAAATGTAGTCACCACGTTCTGTTAATTTTGAAATTAATAGACGGCAAATTGGCCACAAACAAATAATCCGGTGAAATTATGTGGGTATTTAAAGGCGTAATTATGGTACCTAAAATATCACATGCACACACTAAACTGTTTATCTGAAATGCAAAGCCACTTGCAAGAGCTGCCTATTTGTGTGCTAGTTACAACTGAACAGGCATCGACTATAATTGTTAGCCCAATTATTGAAGGAAGTAGTCATTGATGCAACAAGGGTTTTGTATAAACCATCGGCTGACCTAGTTTCGAGTTTCCATGTAACTAAGCTGTCCTAAATCCAACAAAAAATACTCGGATTTAGGACATTTTAATTGGAAGTGAAGGGATGCTTAAGCGGCAAAACGTTTCCGAAATTAACAAACGAATGGAATGCCAGGCAAAAACGGTGATGGTAAAAAAGTTGTACTTCTCGAAGTTTGAGCAGTCGAATAAGCAGACAAATATTACGCTTGTCATTGTTTGACGCAAAAATCTGCTCATTCACAGACATATTATACGTTTTGGAAATGGCGGATTTTGCGAGCGATTAAATAATTAATTTGTGAAACAGAATATTTTAACTATTGAATTAATTCGTACCTTGTTTAGAAACCAATGTCTTGCATTTGCACACCGCTCCAAGGCCATTCCTTAAATGACTACTGTATTTTCTAGCATAATATGGCTAATTAAAAAATATTTTTAAGGTGGCCAAAAATACTTGTGTCATGTTACATTGTGTAGAACAGCATAAAAAGGCATTCTGAACCTTGACGCTGTAATGTGAACACAGGGCTTGCTACTTACTCTTTTCATTAACTCATTAATTTTCATTAATTTTATATAAGGTCCAATGGCTTACAAATGTGGGAAGCAATAAGCTTCCAAAAGTAAATGTTAAAATAAAGCATAATAACAATATGTAATTCCTAACAAAGCATCAATCGCTGACTATGTTCAAATATTGCACAATATCCATTCCTCTATAACAAGCTGCTTAAGCGCGTCTACACGGCTGTTTTTATCTGCAAGCAATATGCAAACATTTACTTGACCTGAGGGGCAATAATGAAATTCCAAAACAAGAAGATGATGAGATTAAGTTATGTTTTGTGTAGGTAATTAGAGGAATCGTGCATGTAGGTATTGAATTTGTTGGGGTAATTTATTTAGCGTGCTTTCGTGCATGCCATCCAAATTTAATGAACTGTTAGAAACTAGGTACTATGCATTAAATCGATTTTACAGGGCACTGTCATGATCCACTTGTTATAATTATTTCGTAATTGCAGAGATTCCTGGTTAAATTAACATGCGCCATGCGCTATTCTATTTATTTTAAAAATTCAATCCACACACTTACACATATTTAGCAAAAAGATGAATTACTGCAAATGCTTCCATAAGAATTTAAGGTGAGTGGTTGTCAGACAAGGATTATGTAAATTTAGTCAATTTTACAGTTCTAATTTAAATCCGAATGCTTGACATTGTAATATAATCGTGTTGATTCAAGTCCAATAACACTGTCTTCACAGCTTCCAGCACACGTCTCCCCCTTTTCACGTGAGACCGCTGGTTCATTAACCCCTCTGTATGTACCACCACCACCACCTCCCGCTTTGGCCACGTGACCTCACAAACGCCTGTGTTCATTTTACATGTCCACTCAACTGTAAAAGTACACGGACACAACTTGGTTGAACTACCTAGTAAACGGTCGTGCCTACCAACTGTGGACTTATTGTCTTCCCGGGTTACTCTCGTGGTGAAATGGCCTAAACAACGTCTTTCTGATAAGCCCTTTGGCAATAATTATGACTTGTACAGTTTTGTAGCATGATATAATAGAGGAATTGAAACATTTCAAAGCACTGCAGTACTACACGTAACACACCCGACTGTGTTATGACAGCCATTTCACACGAACCGGTCGACAAAACTTTGGCATTATGGAGCAGGGTCCAAATCGAGTTGCAGATATAATGCATGCTGATTTATGTCAGTTTCACTTGCACTGCAAAACTGTTTACGTATGAATATAAATACGATTCTTGCCACTCCACCATGTTTGTTTGCAAAGTGAAAAAAATTATCACATGTGAAACATATGTGACCCTGTTTGGCTTGTACTAACTCTCACTATCACCCAAATATTACATTATCTAAGTCATATCTTTTTGTTTCCAACTCTCGTACTTCAAGTACAAGACAAGATGCTTTTGCAGAACGAAATATTGGCACATGATTCTAGTTTGTTCCCATTGGTTTGGAGCCCGATGATATATATACACATGCACACACACAATCTAAACTCTGTCTGTGCAAATCATTTTTGGTTAAAACCGCATTACCGGTTGAATAATGCTTCCCTTTGTTTGCTTATCGTGCATTTTGTGGTGTGTTACTGCCCAAATTCCGACGCAGCAGGAACGCGATGATATCGTTGAATTTCACACAGCATTGCGAGAAAATGTGAAGCCAGAAGCCAGCAACATGGAAATAATGGTATGAGGAAACATTTCCCTGCACTAGTACATCAAGATCCATGACTTTTGGCTTAATGGTTTGCCATGAAACCAATGGCATTACCTCTCGTTTTTTCTTACAGAGCTACTCAATGGAGTTAGAGAACCTAGCACAGGACTGGTCTGAAAGCTGCAATTTCCACGAAGCAGATTCAGATGTTTACCCACAATTCCAGAACATTGGACAGGTTTTTGCATCTGGAGGTCGCTTCAAACCTACATTTAGCGAAATTCTTCCCGCGTTTGCCTGGGCAAGGGATCATTATGATTACGAAAATGACACCTGCAAAGGATTCTGTGACGATTATAAACAGGTAAATTTGAATTCCTTTTTAAGCGAAACAAACAACCCTTTTTATCAAAGTACAAGTTTTAGGACATTACATTAGCATATGTCTCTTAACTTGCCAGCGTCAAACACTAAACATTTCACTTGTTATATTTGTTATTCAGTTGCATCTGCTCTAGTAACCATTTAATATTTGCAAATAATAGCGATCGGTGTTTGTGGCATTAAATCGACTTAAATCCTTCAAATTGACAATTTTGCTGAGCGGTGCGAATACCAACGTTTTCAGAGAATTATATACAACGAAGCGTTTTTTCGAATCAAGCATTAAATAATTTGATAAATGAGGTCGATTATTTAACAGCTGATGTTGATTTTATACCTACATCTCCCTATCAGGTGAAGGGTTTTATGTTTCAAAAATTTAATTTTGTTTTTGTAGATGGTGTGGTCATCAACTTCAAGCATTGGCTGTGGAAGGAACAGGTGCATCAAAAATGAAACGGGGTCATCTAGACCTGAGTACCTTGTTTTCTGTCTCTACAAACCAGCGTAAGTACTGTTTACTGTTATTAAACTTAACTTTATCTGACCCATATGGTTGAAAGTTTAAATAATGACTAACACTTGTTCTAACCTTCAATTTTTCACGCATATTTAATGCCCAATCGCTTGTTTTATAAACCCAGAAGTGGAAATCACCCGAACAAACGGCCCTATAAGAAAGGTGTCAGGTGCAGCGAATGTCCACTGAAATCTAGTTGTTCCCGCAATCAATGCGTGCCAACGTCATCTCCTCCCCTAGGCCTTTCTTTGTCATTTCAACAGAGGCAAGCTGCAACCTCGGTACGCGTGATCTCAACAGTGGAATCGATTGGCCAAGCTACAACCACTTCACTGACCTCTTTAATGATATTATCATTCAAAAGCCTTATGTTTGCAGTACTTATTTTGCAATGCCTAATTTAAACATTTACGAATTTTGCT